TTTTTATATCGCACTAAAAAAAAATTGTTAACTAAGGTCATAGATTATAATATCAAAAATTTCCTTACTTATATAATCTAATCAATTTAAATTGTATAGTATTTTTTAATAGTAAATTGTTCAATTAAAAATACATCACTTTATTTCAAGTTAAGAAATTATAAGTTATAAAAATTAAAAGAAAATAAATTAAGTATTTCGTATAGAAAAAATTTTGTTTTATCATATAAATTATATCAAATTATAAAATATAAATAATGAAATAAAAAATTCTCACTGAGAACATCATTGACGCCTAATGATCACTTCTCATTTGTTAAGGGACTTTTCATACTTGTAGTTTGATAATATAGAGTTTCAATCCTACCTCAGCATTCTAACTATTATAAAACTCATTTCTCATTTAACAATTTAAATTATATAATTTCGATAGGGATCAAATCATGACTGCGATTTCGATGGATTCTGACCGGCTTTCTTGCGTCGTCTGTGGGAATCACGGCACCAAGGTTTGCTCTCGTTGCAAATCAGTTCGTTATTGGTATGTGCTCTTTCTCTTCTTTCGTTCGTTGATTGATTCTTGCGGTGTGGCTGTGTCTCGGTTATATTTTTTTTTTCTTTGCTATGATTTTTGGGATTTTTTTTCTTCTTAATTTGGTAAAGAAATTGATTTTATTTATGTAATCATGGTTGGTTTAATAATTGTGGCGATTAATTGCTTTTTGAAGAATTTGTAAGAGTAATTGCTGTCCACCAACAACCTTTAATAATTTATTTTGTGAGTTATATAGATTCAAGGTTTCTTATTTCAATTAGCCGAGACTTTTGTATGGTTTTTTAAAAATATAAGAAACACTCATGCCATGGATTTGTGCAAGGTTTTCTAGGTATTAACTTTCTTGAAAAGGTAAATTTTTTCTTTTTTTTCATGTATCACCTACCTCCAATGATTGGCTCATGATATAGTAATAGGATTAACTCTGATGTTGAGATTGCCAATAGTGAAACTTTTAGTTAACAAGGCTAATAACATACATTATTTTGATTCTTATTGAAGAGACTATTTATGCACTTTTAATTTGCTTACTGTAAAAGGCACGTTTTGTTAGTTGGGTGTTAATACATGAAAATTTATGTAGATGGTTATTTTTTTTATTTTGGCTGATGATGGGTGATTGAAAAGGTGCCAAACAGATATACCTTTGTTGTGGAAAGTTGTCTGTATTGTATGTTCTTGATTTCATATTAGTGATAAACTAGCTTATTTGATTGAAATTGCTACATACCATGTTTAAAGACTTTACCTTTTTTCCCTTTTTTTCCAGCTCGCCAGAATGCCAACGGACACACTGGAATTCTGGGCATCGGACAGAATGTAAATTAAATTCATCGGCGGCAGCAAGAACTAAAAAGTAATCTGGAATTGCACTTGTACCCGCGAAACATCAAAGATTATCAAAAAGCCAAGAAAGGTATTGGATGTGGCCAGAATAACTAAAACCTTTAACATTCGGAAATGAATTGGTGATTCACACTTATATTTTCAGGTTCTTTTTCCATATGATGAGTTTCTAAAACTTTTCAACTGGGAAAAGCCAGGATTCCCAATTGGGTTACTTGCAGTGTGAACACGGTTTAGCAATTGCTTGCTTGCACAAGACACCCAATTGACTAGCAATTTTTAGCATATTAGCAGGGTTTTTGAACATCTAAGCAATGTATAGCATAAACATTTTAGAGATCTCTAACTTAAAAGCTACTTCTTCTGTTTCACAATATGTGTCTCCCTTTAGGTAATATTTTTATGGACCCTGATTGGTGCACACCCGGATCCAATACCCGGGTGTGCACCCCCATATAAAAAAAAAAATTTGACCGGGTGAGTGATGGACATTTTTTTTTTTAAAGGGAAGTGTGCACACCCGGGTGTTGACCCGGGTGTGCACATATCATTTTCCTATTTTTATACATGAATAAAAATAAAAATTTTTAATCAAGTTGGACTGCTTAATAAAAATTACATACAAATAAATTTAATTATTTTTTAAATATAATTAAATGATAGATATTACAAAACGAAAGGAATATGTAGTAACCGTATTTTTACACTTGAAGGTCCAATTCCTAAAATTAGCCACCTTTATGATGCATAACATTGGGAATATATAGTGGGCAACACGACTCCTGATTTTCTTGCGTGATGGCTCTTGATGAGACAATCATATTAGAAGTCTCTTTCACTTTCTTCTGTGGACTTTGATGGTTAGTATTTATCTTTTCCCATCCTTTGTTTGGAGGAAAAAAGGTTAAACCCTTATTTGAGTCCCTCAACTATTATATGGATTCTTGATTGGTCCTCAACTTAAAAAATCTCTAATTTAATCCTTGTTATTTGCGATTTTGGCTCCAATTTGTTCCTTTGGTTAAAAATCCAATAACATGTTTTGTTAACTCACAGGAGGCTCAATGACATGTCAAAATATTGTGACACGTCAACTGTACACATAGAAAAAAATGACATGGCAACAAAACATGTCACATTCTTGCTAAGCACAAAAAAAAAAAAAAAATGGGGCCCATCTCCTTCACAAACTTACAACTTCTCCCCCTTTCTTCCCATTGAACCCCAAAAGAACAAAGGCCTTTTATTTCAAGCCCTACCTGTAAAAAAGCCAAAAATCCATTTTTTCTTTCCCCTTGCTATTGGTGAATTTACTGTTTTTCACTTTCAAATCTTCACATTGATGGTTGAATGAGGTAGAAATCAAAGACAATAGGAAAAAACACAGCACACTTGGGTTCTTTTGAACCTAGCAGGCGTAGGGTTCAATTTCAAATTCAACACGCACTGGGTTCGATTTCAAACCTAGCAGCCATTGGGTTCATTGGAATCAAGCAACCGCTAGCTTCTTTCATGGGTTCGAAAAGTGGCGATGAAAGTGGACTCGAAGGAAAAATATTGATGAATTGATTGTTTGATTTAGAAAATTGTGCTGAAAGTGGACTCGAAGGAGGCAAAGAAAGAGAAAAAGACGAATTAATGAAGAAAATTTGAGAAAGAGGTTACTAGAGAAAGAAGATAAGGATAAAATTGTAATTTTCAATTGATTAGATAATTGTATTTGTTTTATTACATGGTCAAGGTTTTTGGTCACATCATTTATTTATCCATGTTGTTAAGTTGACATGTCACAATATTTTGACATATCATCAAGCTCTCATGAGTTAACGGGATATGTTATTGGACTTTTAATGGAAGGATCAAGTTGAGACTAAAATAACAAATAGTATGGACTAAATTAGGGATTTTTTAAGTTGAGGGACTCAATCAGGGATGGGTATAATAGTTGTAGGACCAAAATGAAGGTTTAACCAAAAAAAAAGTTGGGCCGAATTTGGTTTTTGATTTAAAGGGAAACACCTTCTTTACTTAAATTGGGTACAGCTTCTGAATTATTAGAGACACATAGAAGGATGTTCTCCCATAATGCAAGAGAAATCGATTTAAAATAATGTGTAACAAGGCAATTAATGAGAGAGCACCATGATCAATATAAAGGCTAATACTAGTATCGGAATGTGTACTTGATCGATTTGACTCTTTCCTCCTTTCATATGAAACAATGCTCCAAAATAAAAGACGGTCCATTAATTTATGAGGCAACCATAGTAGGTTACCAAGAAACTAATAAGGATTTGGACACTTGTAATTATTGTTCTAGCTCAATTCTCAATTCTCTCGACAGATTAGGGTCCTCCCCATGTGATTTCTTTTCAACTTTGGAAGCACTACATGAATAAGAAATGAGTTTTCTCTAATTGGATGAATAATTTTTTTTTAAAGAAAAAAACATAAAAGTAGAGATGTGATTATAGTCACTACTTATTTTTGTTAAGATTACTAAAGTATAATTAAAATTTATAGTTTTTTTTCTTAAATAGATAATTATGATATTTAAAAATATATGTTTATACATTGATTTTAATTTATTAAATAATAAATATCAATTATTATATTAATTATTAATTAATTTTAACAATCAAATAAAAAACAATCAATATTTTTTAAACAAAATTTTAATAATCTTAACGAAATAATTGGGAATCATAACCACATCCTTAAAGTACCCACTCAACTACTTTTGCCTTTACTTTAGATTATGTGGCATTAACATGTCAAGGCTAGATTCCTATTCACATAAATGATTGAATTAATGTCAAGCCAACTGTATTCTAAATTATTGCTTCTTCGTCATTCTTTTTCCCTCATTTCTACTATGTAACGTTGCGTCTACTAAGGTTCATCATAAAAAAATAAAAAA